CATATTAACCGCACCTTGAAGTTGCTCTAGGCGACATGTCTCTTTTTTTCCTCGACCTCTTCGGAAGGCTGGCCAAAAATTTACCAATCTGCATCCCCTGGCATGGGGCGGCGGCATCGGCGTTGTTAGGTGGTTCTGGGTACAGGAAGGCCTGGGTACAGGAGGGCCCATGTGTATAAAAAAACCAATACTGCATACAGAATTGCTTCACTAGCCATTGCTGGCACCTTAGAGACGATGCACCTGCATGTGTACGTGCATTAGTGGCTAGCGATGGTCCCATTACCAGATAGGTAACTTGCCATGGCGATATAATCCTAATTAAGGGAGTGTACATCTCGGCGAACAACAATCGCGATTCACTACCTTTGCGGTTGCATTTGCGTGAACATTCTTATTCGAAACCACCAAAACCTAAGTCATGTCGATCCGCCAGGCGTCCCAACCCTATCTACTTTAAATGAACGCCAAACTCCATGCTATGCATCACATCGAGCCGCTCGGTAACTTCTGCGTACACAGATGAATCCCCCCCCCACCCTGGCCATCACATCACAGCTCGTCAGCCTCGATAACCCGCGCCTTGAGAATCTTGACCTCGTCAACGGGTCTGTCCTCAGCCCCCGTCTTGACCAGCCCCATCCTCTTGACGACGGCGAGCCCGCTCTTGACGCGGCCAAAGATGGTATGCTTGCGATTGAGCCACGGTGTCGGCGCCAGCGTGATGAAGAACTGGCTGCCGTTCGTGTCGGGACCGGCGTTGGCCATGCTGAGGATGCCAGCGCCGTTGTGGCCGAGGTCGGCGTGGATCTCGTCGGCGAACTTGTCGCCGTAGATCGAGGCGCCGCCGCGGCCGGTGCCCGTCGGGTCGCCGGCCTGGACCATAAAGTTGGGAATGATGCGGTGGACGAGCGTGTTGTCGTAGTAGCCGCGCTTGGCGAGCGTCGCGAAGTTGGTGCACGTCTTGGGCGCGTGCGAAGGTGTAGAGCTCGAGCAGGATCGTGCCCTGGAGTGAGAGGTTAGCGACCGAGATGGAACGGACAGAAAAGAACAGGCAAGGGAGGGGGCGGCTTGCCATTGTGGTTTCGAGGGCGACGGTGGTCATTTTGGCGGTCTTTGATCGAAGTCGTATGCGCAGCTGTGGAGGTGGTTGCGAATGTCGGCGAATGGAGCAAAGCTTAGGAGTGTAAAGCAACAGGCAGTCGAGGTCGCGATGCGAATCGAGGGGTCCGAAATCTTCAGGCAAGGCTGAGGATAACGCAGCGGGATAGCTTCCAGCCACAGCGTCTCAATCCGGCTACGTCATTGGCTAGAAAGTCATACACGGCACTTGAACACAACTGCGCTTTCAGCAACACGCCCGCCATTCTTGAGTATTTCGCAGGCCTGAAAGTAGCCCTCCACCAAATCGGTCGATCATTCCCACGTATGTACTTTTATTGGCCTCATGATGGCTTCGTTTTCCATCTATGCGCGCCTTGTGAACACTGTGTCGCATCCCACTGACGCTCTTCACATAGCTCTTGCCTAGCGCCACGTTGCACCTGCCTGGAATACTCCAGTGTACGCCACTTCCAGGAAGCGCCTCATAGCTTGCATCACACTTGCAGTGAATAGCCCAGCTTCAGCATTTGCTGCCTATTTCACCTTCACCTGAAAAGCCGTCAAGCCCTAAACTCTGTTGCAGGGCATTCTTCGTTTGCCTCGCTTGTCAACAATTACAAGCTTTGCAGCCCAGGCTTGCCCTCTCCATCCACATCGGAGTACACTACCGACGCAAGTCTCATCGCAACAGCGCAACGATTCACCAGGGCAGACCATCGTTGAAGAACCGCAATACCCTCTCCCAGCGGCCAACATGGCCTCCCCCGATGCAAAGTCCGATCTCCTTCTACAGGAAGAGGGCGCCGTTGCTTTGTCGGGAAATACGACTACGGTTGCGAGCTCCATCTTCGCCTGGAAAGATCCTAACTTCCTCGCTGTCGAGGTCAAGCTCATCTTCACTGCTCTTGCTCTCATTTACATCGGTGCCCACGCCGCCCTCAGACGACCTCCTTCCGCGGCACCTGCCGTCAAAACCAAGTCCGGCAGGCCGCGGAAGAAGAAGCCCTCCGACGACGATGTCTTCACTCAAGGGCTGCTCCCCTCCGACGCTATCATCTTCCCCGTCATGGCCGGCATTGTCCTCGTCGGCCTGTACTACCTCATCCAGTGGCTCCAGGATCCCGCAATTCTCAACAAGATCCTGCGAGGCTACATCTCCATCATGGGGATTTTCAGCTTAACCAGTCTGATTGCTAACACTATTCAAAATGCCACAAGCTTCCTCTTTCCTCTCTACTTTCGCAAAGGACGCACCACCTACCTCGTCGATGGTGTCGAGGAGTGTCTCCGACCGATCACTCAAGACGGCAGCCAAGACGTTGTCCCCCCTGCACAATCGATATCTCCGATCCCCTGGGCGCCTTTTCTCGTTCGCAGCCCTAAGGCGCGGCGTTACCTGTGGGAGATCCGTCACCTCATCAGCGAAGAATGGGCGGTGAAGCTCAAGCTCCACGGATTTTTCAACGAGAAATTTTCAATTCAGTTCAGTCATATTTTGGGTTTCTTGCTCGCCTGCTCTGTCGTCGCGGCATACCATGTCACCAACCACATGGTGCTTTCCAACATCCTAGGATACGGGCTGTGTTATGGAACGTTCTTGATAATGTCACCAACCACGTTCCCAACCGGCACTCTTATCCTCTGCGGACTGTTCATTTATGACATTGTCATGGTCTTCTACACGTAAGTTGATTTTTCCCCCTCTCACTAGACAATCAATCTCACATGACCTCAGACCGTATATGATCACTGTCGCAACCAAGCTCGACGCGCCCATCAAACTTACCTTTGCGTCAGCCGCCAAGTCCAGCATTCTCGGTCTTGGTGACATCGTAGTTCCCGGTATGGTCATGGCGCTGGCTCTACGGTTTGATCTTTGGCGCTTCTACAACAAGCAGGTCAAGTATGTTGCCACAGAGCTGAAGTCAAAGGCGACTGGCCCAACATCCGATGACATTGTCGTCGCTAGCGAGATTCAACACATGGCTAAGAAGACTCCATATATCGACGTCACCGGTTCATGGGCAGACCGCTTCTGGGTATCGACTTGGTCTGGCTTGCTCACATTCTCAAAGCCTGGAAACGACGCCCCAGTTTCGGTTCAGGTGGCTGCCTTTCCCAAGACTTACTTCTACGCATCCCTTATTGGTTACACTTTAGGGCTGCTGGTGACACTGGTCATGCTGGTTGTGTTCAGGCACGGTCAGCCTGCGCTACTGTACCTTGTGCCAGGCGTCCTCGGCTCTCTCTGGTTGACAGGTCTGGTCAGGGGCGAGTTGAAAGAGATGTGGACCTACACTGAAGACGGCACACTTGACACTCAGGATGTCATCGTCGAGCTCGATAACTCCGGCAACGTCGTCAAGGAGATCAAAGATAACAGACAGAGCACAGATGAGAAGGAGAGTGAAGAGAAGAAGAAAAAGTCGGAGCAGGCAACAAAGGCGGCCCAGTCCGGTTATGATGTCTTCCACTTCTCGGTCAGGGCGCCGCCGCGCGGTCCAGGCAAGGCGGATGTTGCTCAGGAACTCGAGAGGAAGGCTCTCTAAACCAAAGTATAGGGATCAAACCAGAGTAGATGCATCAGCGTGTGCTGGGGATCTTGCGGGATACTCCTGTCAATTGAAATTGATTATCACCAGCGTGCGCATCAACGAGGATGGTGGCTCGGCCCCGACATCCTGTCATAATCTCTGTTCTTTCGGTTAACTCGACTGAAGATCCGTATTGTAAACAGTTTTCAGGCTGATCAAGGATTTCAGTCTTCGAGTCTCACCACCGCCATATCGGGCAGACACAGAAGATTGGCTGTCACATTTCGAACGCATATCAAATCTGAAAATGAGTCCTGAGAAAGTTCGGGTGTATAACCTTCGCAACCCCCGAGACACAAAGGTAATAATAAACATGACTGTGGAGCGAATTTTATCTCCGATTCGGTTTCAAAATAGATGTTGGCTGACCATAAGCCACGACCTCCGTGTTACCCTTCAAGTCAGTCCAGAAGTCGGCCATTGACGCAGAATATTGCAATTCCAGCAGAAGCGAACAGCATCTCTTGCTATCGCACCTAATAAGCCATTATAGGTTTTGCTCACTTTTTATATGTACGGGATCTAGAGGAGAGGGTGTGAAGCACGATAGTCATGAATGTTTTTCTCATGCCTACGTCTGTTCTGCCATGGCAAGAAAGTCTAACACGAACCTTGCTGGTGTCCAACTATAGAGCTGAGTTTTGACAACAGCAATCATGCTGTCGACCTTGATGTACAATTTGCGTTTCCTTTCTCCGCTACCTTCTGCCCATCGCTTTTGATGAGCCATGTTGACCTATACTTGCCTTACCGGGCGGCATCATTTCCGACACATTTTCTTTTCCTCGGATTCTTTACATATCACATTGGATCAGCGCAGATACATCGAAAATACTTGCTTTGACGGTCAGAGTCGAATAGCCACGTTCGTTCATCGAATCGCCAAGCACAAACTTGAACGAAGCCGTCCTATTCATTCACCCATACCCTGTGATTTACTCCGGCGATTCACTCCTGTCGTTGGCCAGAACAGGTTGCACGTATCTTCCCAGTTCTCGAGCATTTACTTCTCTATACAGCCTCCTCTGTCCTGGTATCGACAACAACACACGAAATTCACACAGGATTCAATCACCTGCAGGCTTTGTCCTCGACACCCAATCACCACTCAACGTCGTTAAAACATTGAGAATATCAAACCAAATTGAGGTACCGATCGTTTGCACGGTCCCTCATTCTATCGTTGAGATGACGAGTCCGCCTGTTCACAATGACTTCTTCAATACTGTCATGAATAAAGCTCATAGCATGAAAGTGCCTGCTCAAAACACGCATGATAGCTCTCTCGACAGCCAGGCAACTCATATACCAGATGATTCAAGCATTCCGGCCATCGACATTGGATGTCCGCTGGTGCCTATCAGGGACGAGCCCATATTCAGTCGGGGTCGCATCGTGCCCACATCCATCGACTCTCTTGTCAATCACAGGCGTCCAAATGCCAGTGTGTTACTCGACCCAAGCTTGACCTACGTTGAGGAAATGGGACCGCCCCCCAGAAACCTCTTGGCGGATAAGTACCGGACTGCCAGGTCTGTTGCGCTCGAGACTCTCCGCTCCCACGGCCAGCTTTACGACAAGACACCCTCCACCAGCGATCTCGCCGACAGGTCCTTCAACCAGCCCGCGTTTCAAGAAGCCACGGCAGAGTTTGCTGAATACGCAGTCAAGTGCATGCCCGGCTACCTCCAGAACCCATCCAGCCTGCGCACGAAGCGGGAGCGGGACGGAGACGAGGCGCTCGACATTGCCCGGCCGCGCTCCCCCAAGCGCGTATGCTCCGAACGTCCTCATGTCGAGGTCGCGAGGCCAGCTTTAGCCAGTCGGGCGAATGCAATGCTCTCAGAAGAGTCTTTGAAGGATCACCCTGCCCTGCGACTGCTCGGGGACGGGTGGCATGACATTCACTCCCAGATAGCCGAAACCACGACAGAGACGCCCCGCGACGAGCAGCGCCAGGATACGATGTATCATTCGGCATCGCGAATCTTGTCGAGGATTGCCATGGAACATCTCGGTGAGGTAAAAGACGAAATTACCGAGGCTCTGTTATGATCAGTCAGGCACATCTGTCTTTTTTTGGGTAGGGATATCAGGATGCATGGCCGACCGCCGTTCTTCCCATCTGCTTTTTGGTTCGGTGGCAATTGTTCTTTCTTCTGATTTCCCTGCATTGGCCTGTGCATTAGGAACCATTAAACTAGATACATATACAGTCAGGGGCTCGAGTGCGAGCTTGGCCCACAGTGCTTCACATGCGGTAATGGACCCTCAGTTTTGAAGAGAAGATGCCTTTGTAGCGAAAGCACAAGCATCAATAAAATTACCAATAGGCTACAACGGCAGAACTGTGACTAACGCCTTGTCCCATTACATCCTCCAAATGAGCCTGATTGGTAAGTATCTCGCACTCCTCTTCTCGGAGGCGCGCCTAGATACCAATGAATCCCCCGCACCGACGAAAAGGTCCAGGCTCAGCAAGGGACCCTCCACGCAGTTTCGACGAGGCACTCGACAAATAAGAAGAGGCGGCCCCGTCATCCCCTACGCTTCATGGGGCTGCCCAACTCTCGGCGTTATGATGGGCTGAAACTTCTTGAAAAAAAAAAAAAGGCAGAAGTCTTTTATAGAAAAGAAGAGAAAAGTGTAGACGTCCAGGGACCGCGACATGTGGGAACAATGTCCGCCCTGCCTGTGATCGCTACTCGAGCGGCGACGCTGGTCACGGCTTCCTGCCTGCAAACCTGTACCGCTGGGGGCAGCGTGTAGAGGCGAGGCGGGATGGAGGACAGGGCCGCGAGAGGATCGGCTCAAATTCTTCGACCCTTTTCCCCCAGCCCCTAAAAACGGAGACTGGGAAGGGCAGGAAAACGAGGGAGGGCGTTCGCGCTTCAGGGTCCGTGGCACTTCCAGCGGACACGGGGTCTCTACATTCGTAGTAGCCGGCGACGGCGATAGTGGCCTGCTTGAGGGATAGTGTTGACTGAGCGTAGAAGGGCAAGCAGGCCGCCGGTCATGATGTTGTCGGTAGCGAAAGTGAGAAACGTGCCGGATCGACGCGAAGGCTCTGCGGTCAACCTTCCAGCGGCAAAGTGGAACGGCGTCTCGAAAAATAAGGATCCTCGACTGCCCTCCCGCGAGGGAAAAGCAGGAGGATCAACTGAAAACAAAAGGTGGTGTTCAACGCTTCAGACGGCCCAAGGGGGTCATCTTCCAGCGGAACATCGATAGAAAAATGGCGCTCCTGGCCTGTTCGACGCTCATTTGTTGACGTCATGGGCACGAAGCAGTCGGAAGAACAAATGCTGGACTGCTCGCACGATGGGCGGAACGGGGGAGGCTCGGTTGGCGATGCACGGTGGCATGCGTGGGATGATGAGGGAGGGAGGGAGGGAGGGAGGTGGTTTGGCGGGGCCTCTGCTGCGAAGCAGGTTCTCGAGATGAATCGGAGAACTGCGCTGACGAGATGGAAAGTGGATGAATGAACGAGCAGGAAGCAGCCAGTCTTATACCTTCCAATTGTGGCAAGATACGCATGAGCAGACGAAGCAGTGACGATGGGCCCATTGAAGTGAGGTTGAGACAAGTTCAGGTATCGGGGCGTCACAGACACGGCTAATTGCACGCATGTCGCACACGACCCGCCTCGACTGGCCACTGAACGTCGAGGCTGCAACAAGGTGTTACGACCGTCTTCCTTGTGAGCTGACGGCAATGACACTGATCCAGTTTCGCGACAGGGCCTCGTCGTTGGCAAACAATCCCAATGGCCTGATGTTCGAAACTCGGAACGAAGATCACTACAGCCGAATGCCCTCTGGCCTCCTGGAGCGTCCTCTGTTCTTCCCCGTTTCAAACAGCAGCCGAGGGCCGTGAAACACAGCCATGTCCTCGTCACCTTCCGATAGCCCCCATCCTCCTCGCAGACCACATCTCGTCCAGTGGATTCTCGATACCCGGACCCTCTGGCCCGAGGCCACCAGGACCAATGATCTCGAACATGCCGTGAGATGCCGTTCCCCTCCTTCGTCTTCGTCACCCCGAGTTTCTCCTCGGTCCAGCACGTAGAGCCCAGGGTCGTCCCTTACTGACAGAGCCCAGGCCTCTCGTGCCCTCGCGCTCCTGACGCCTGACGAGCGTGCCGGCGTCCTTCGCTTCTACCATGTCCGTGACGCCAAGCTGTCGCTGGGCTCCCACCTCCTCAAGCGTCACGCCATTGCCCGTTTCTGCGGCGTCCCCTGGTCTCGCGCCGTGCCCATCCGTGACACCCCGACCGCCAAGCCGTCCTGGCGCGACCCTGCCGGCCGCGAGCCCCTGCGCTTCAACGTGAGCCATCAAGCCGGCCTCGTGGCTCTCATCGCCGTGCACGACAGCCAGGACCCCGGCGCCCTCGAGATTGACGTTGGTGTCGATGTCGTCTGCACCTCGGAGCGCCGCGTCCGCGACCGCGCCACCATCGCCGCCGAGGGCTGGCCGCACTTTGTCGACGTCCACGCTGATGTTTTCTCGCCGCGCGAGGTTGCCTACCTGCAGCACGGCATCATGGCGCCCGTGCATCAGCTCCCCGGGCGGCCCGGCGGCGGCGCGTCGGCCGACGAGATCGCCGACTTTCAGCTGCGGTGCTTCTACGCGCTGTGGTGCCTGCGCGAGGCGTACGTCAAGATGACGGGCGAGGCGCTGCTGGCGCCGTGGCTCAGGGATCTCGAGTTTCGGGGGTTCCGCGCGCCGGCTGCTGCGAGCGGGGTGGAGGGAGGACGCCTGACTGTGGATGAGGCCGAGGGGACAGCAGTACGGCAGCACGAGATCTACTTTGAGGGGACGAGGGTTGAGGACGCCAATGTCTGTCTCAAGTCTGTGGGACCGGACTATATGGTTTGTGCTGCCGCGAGGACGCCTAAAAGCAAGGAGGAGGGGCTTGCCTTGAGGCTCGGTGATTTCGAGCTGGTGCGCTTAGAGGAGCTGATTGCGTTTGCAGAGGCAGCATCATGATGAGCGTTTCTCTGCTTGTGCCTATGTTCGAGTCGCATTATGTGCTGGACTGGGTGGGCTGCTGCTGAGGCTGGCTGATGCCTGACGAGTACGGTATTGCCAGGGCAGGCCACAAAGGATCGCGTAGCACAGTGACAACAAACACAGAAGCACCAGGCGAGTTCTTCCCCTGGCAACCGCGCACTTTCCATATAACCACGTCCGCCTTTCGCTCTATTGTCACTCCTCCTCCATTAGCCCAGTGGTTGAGCAAACAAGTTACAACCAGAAGGGTACTGGTTCGAATCTCACTCCCAACCCAGTTTTCCTGGTGAAACCGCGGGCCTCGCGGCGGTTTCCCTACCCAGGGTCCATCACCCCTCGCCCATCGGCCCCCTGACGCAGGGTGCGGGTGGGCCGGGGGTGACCGGCCCTGGCGAGTGTTTTGCCGGTGTTTTCCTTTGACGCACTTCCACGATGCATGCACTCCAGCCAGGGTGCACTCCCATCACATATGCTATTTCAAGAAGGGCACAGAAAGTGTTGCATGGCATTCGTGATGGGGCTCTTCTCATAAGATGACAGGCGCAGCGCTCACAGGTTCTTGCTGAAGAACTCGACAACCGTCTTGTAGCCCCTGGCATACTCCTCCTTGACGCGCTCATCCTCGAGGTCGGCGCGGGCGGCCATCCAGCCGTGGATCTGGTCCTTGAAGGTCTCGACGTGCTTGGTCACCTGCAGGGCCTCCTCAAACTTGCCGACGGCCTCGTCGGGCTCCTCCTTGGAGGCGAGCAGGATAAAGGGCACCTTGACGCCCTTGGCGTCCTCGGGGTCGACCATGGCGGGGTGGATGGAGGCGGCGGCCTTGAAGGGGTTCTCGTCGCCCGATGTGACGAGCGTCGCAACCTTGCCACCCCAGCAGTACTGCGCGTCGCCGTCGTCGTTAGCATTGCCGTGAAAAATGTCCGGGCAGGGAGCAGGGGCAAAACACGCACGCCAATGATGGCCCAGTCGGTAATCTCGGGGTACTTGTCCCTGGCGGCCCTGACGTAGCCTGGCACGAGGCCGGCAATCTTGGGCGGCGGGTACTTGCTGAAGAAGGCGCCAAGGTTCTTCTGCTTCTCCTCCGTGTCGGGGGGGTACCACTCGATGGGGCAGGGGTTGCCGCCGAACCAGTCGGGGATGAGGACGCGGTGCTTCTGGTCGCCGCTCGTCGCGAGAATGTCGGCGCCCTGGAGGGACTGGGGGAAGTAGCCAAAGATGTCGTAGATGAAGAGGATGCCCTTCTTGGCGTCGGAGGGACCTGTGGTGTCTGCGGAGCAGGGTCAGTGGAGGGTGGCCGGCGGAGGGCGGCCAGCGCGCAACAAGGACGGCGGGTCACGTACACGTCTTGATGTCGTTGACCTGTTCGTAGGAGCCCTTGGCATCGTAGCCCTTGGAGATGACGGGTGGGATGTTGCAGCAGGCCTCGTTGTGGCCGTGCTGCGCAGGCATTGTCGACATGATGGCGGTGGTCGACGTCGGGAGCTTGGGGATGCTGGGTGTAAATAGGGCAGATGCCACTTTCTTTTTCTTCTTCTTGATCGTAGGTGCGATCAGTTGGAGGACTGCTGCAAGTGAAGATGGGATGGAAACGAGAAGAAAAGGAGTCCCATTGCCTGTCAACTGCCGGCTTGATCGTGTCGTCACCGCGACCCCTCAGTGTCAGAGGGGGCCTAGTGCGGGGGGGGGAGCTCTGGGCCCCGCCTCGCCGTCGGGCAGCGTACCTATCTACCTAGGTACCTACTGGAGCATGCTGGGCCTAGGGTGCGGATAGATCAGGCAAGGGACTTTTCGGAAATCCAAAACAGAGTTTCTCTGACCAGACTCGGAGATGGTACACGGCACACTGGCTTTCGTGTCAGGCACACTGGCTTCTGACATGAAAGCCAGTGTGCCGTCTTTCTGTCACATCTCTGACCAGCTCTGCGATGGACAATGGGGTTCGAGGCTCTCGCGTTGCGGATCCACAGCTGCCAGGGACATGCCCCTTGTTGTTCCCTGTTGTTCCCCCTAACGGCCCGCTACGAGGTCTTGCCGCGTGTGCCCTGGTGCCCCGAACGCCGTTCAGGCGTCACAGTAGCCCCACCAGAGCTCTTCTATCATCACAAGCCATCGACCCCTCCAGATCCTGCCTCCCAGTAGTCACTACAGCATCACAAAGCATCCAAGCCCAAGACAAACACTCCATCAAACTCGTCAGTCATCAAATATCGTACCCCGTCCGCCGCATATCCGCCACGGCCTTGTTCACGACCATGCCGTCCGTCGGGAACGCCAACTGCTTCGCCGCCTCGTCGACCTCGCACCAAACGTTCTCGAACAGGCCCGCGTCCTCACCCACGAGCGGCTCAGGCAGAGCGCTCTCGTCGGCCGAGGCAGCGTAGTAGAACACCATCTTCAACGCCCCCGTCGCCACGTCGGCCCAATGGCAGCACGCCACCGCTTCGTAATGGTCGACCCCCTCTGTCAGCCCTTGCCGGACAGGCCCCTCAGCATCTGACTCGACGGCCTGTACATCGACATGCGCGCCCCGTGCCCGCCGCTGCATCGCCTGCATCGCCTGCGCCGCCTGCACCGCCTGCATGTGCTGCACCTCGTGCATCTCCTGAAGCTCCTGCTGCCCCTCGAGCGCCCCCTCCCCGGGCGTCGCCCTCGTGCCGCACCGCACCGCCAGCGGCGTCACCCGGACACCCGTCTCCTCGAGCGTCTCCCGCACCGCGCACGCCAGCAGCGACTCCTCGCCCATGTTCTTGCGCCCTTTGGGCAGCTGGAAGAGGCCCTGCCGTTTGTTGTACACGAGCAGCACCCGCCGCGTCCTGAGGTCCACCGTCACCGTGCCCGCCCCGACCGTGAACCCGTGCGACGGCAAGAAGACACGTGGCTGCCGGAGTGCTGCCTCGCCCAGCGGCGTCGGCTGGTGCTGCCGCACTGCCCTCGTCGGGCTTCCTTCTCCTGCTGCTGCCGCTGCTGCCGCCGCCGCCGCCGCTGCTGCTGTTACTGGCCATGGCGAGCCGCTAGGTGACGGCGAGGTTTGGGGGGTCGGTGGCCGCCGGCCGTGCTGGTGGTCATGATCGCAGCCAAACATGCTCGGCATACCAAGACGATGAACGGGGAAGACGGCAGGCTGACTGACTGGTTTCGTTGGCTGGGGCGGCAGACTCGGGATCATTGGGTGTGGCCGATGCGCCAGTTGGACGACACAAACGATTTCGCTTGGCGTCGCCTGATCAAGCCTTCTCTAATAAGAATACAAAGCCAGAGGAATGTGCAAGGAGAAGGAAACTCAAAGTTGAGAAGACAATCCCAGTCCCAAGGCGAGTCTTTAAGAAAAGGGGACAAAGGCTGCTGCCCTGAGCAGATTTGTGAACAAGAACCGCCCCTTGCCGCCTTACCCCCCTTGAGGTGGATTGATATATCACTTCTCAAAGCTGCTAGTAGACTCTTGTTTCTAAACTTGCCTGCCATTCTCCTCCCCTAGTCCGACCCCTCGCTAGCGCCTTCTTTTTCTGTCTCCTCTCCTCTATCTTGGTCTCGATTTTTGCCTCTGTCCCGATTTGGACCGCACTGTCCGGACTTGACCGACAGGGCCTCATGGCCGGCAAGCCAAGTCGTACGCTGTCCTGCTCACGCGGGTTTCCCAGGGGATCCCCGAACCAGATGGGCAACATGACACCTCTGCCAGATCAGATCAGCCGGCTGACCAACAGCGAGTGGGCAGCAGCGCCCAGGATCAGGCTTATCTCGCCAACCCTAGAACCCTAGGACCCTAGGACCCTAGGACCCCAGGAGCGCTCAGCACACAGCACGCAGCACACACATCCTCTTGTCAAACCCCCACGTCAGCTTCAACTGTCAGTTTCGGTGAACACAAGGGTGACCGGTGGTCGTCTGCTCCAGTTTGGTGCTGCCGTGCCATGCCGTGATGCGACGATGACTTCCCCTCCTTTGCTCACCACCTCATGTGGTCAGCTCATCAGGCAGATCATATTGGCTCTTCCCAGTCAGGCTGGGGTTTCAGGGAAACAGGTTTCCTCCAATTCGTCGAGATATGCGAGCCTACCTTGGTCCGCGAAAGGGCCCCGCCGCGAATCAGCTGCCGTGGGCCAGCCCAGCCGACCCGGCAGATCGCAATTCCTCCTGCCGTCGCTTGTCACGGTCACCGAGCTCGGCCCTGGGGAGGGGCCCGCATCTATAGCACCGAGGCGGCACATGACAAGCTGCGTACGCGGGGCACAGGCCGCCTGTGCGGGGTTCGGATCGTGACGGCTCACAATCGATCGTGGGGATCGCGATCTTTGTTTCTTGAAACAACAGAATGCGTGCGCTGTTTGTCTCGTCACGTGTTGCGCAGGCGAAGAGGAGGTCATTGGTTCGCACGAGCAAGAAGAGCGGCAGCAATACTACAAGAAGAATTTGTTGAATTTGGTACCCGGCGCTTTTCTACATCCTGAACACTCCAAATTTCGTCTCGCCCGCCTTGACCTCATTCCGGCCCGTCATGGCCGCGCGCAGGCCCAGTCCGAGGTACCTCCTCGTGTCCTGTGGCGGGATGATGCCGTCGTCCTGTGTCTGTCAGTGCTTGTTCGTTGCATGGGTAGAGGTGGAGAGACAGAAGAAAATGAGAAAAAGAAAAAGAAAAAGAGGAACGCACCCATAACCTTGCCGACGAGAACGTGGCATCGCTCTCCTTCTCTATCCTGTCCTTCAGGGCGGGATCGGCCTTGCCGACCGTCTCCATGACCGAGTTGAGCTGCTCGCTGCCCATGACGCCGATGCGGGCGTTGGGCCACATCCACAGGAAGCGGGGCGAGTAGGCGCGGCCGCACATGCCGTAGTTGCCGGCGCCGTAGCTGCCGCCGACGACGACGGTGAACTTGGGCACGTCGGCGCAGGCGACGGCCGTGACGAGCTTGGCGCCGTGCTTGGCGATGCCGCCGCGCTCGGCCTCGGAGCCGACCATGAAGCCGGAGATGTTCTGCAGAAAGACGAGGGGGATGCCGCGCTGCGTGCAGAGCTCGACAAAGTGGGCGCCCTTTTGGGACGACTCGGCAAAGAGGATGCCGTCGTTGGCGACGATGCCGACCTTGTAGCCGTGGATCTGGGCGAAGCCCGTGACGAGCGTCGTGCCGTAGTCGCGCTTGAACTCGGAAAACTTCGGAACCGTTCGACGATGCCGCGCGAAGACCTTCGCGGATCCGGCAAGCCGCTTTGCGCAAGGTTGGGTGCCTCGCGATGCCCGAAGAAGCTTCGGCGGGGCGGGTGGGACGGGCTTCGGCGTAGGCGGCGGCCCGGGGCCGAGGTCGCGGGGCTGCGGGCCGGCCCAGTTGAGGTTGCTGATGCTGCGGCGGGCGAGGGTGAGGGCGTGGGCGTCGTCGACGGCGAGGTAGTCGGTGACGCCCGAGACGGACGAGTGCAGGCGGCCGCCGCCGAGGTCCTCGGCCGAGATGACCTCGCCGGTGGCGGCCTTGACGAGGGGCGGGCCGGCGAGGAAGATGTGGCCCTGGTTCTCGACGATGATGCTCTCGTCGCTCATGGCGGGCACGTAGGCGCCGCCGGCGGTGCAGGGCCCCATGACGACGGAGATCTGGGGGATGCCCTGGGCGCTCATGCGGGCCTGGTTGTAGAAGATGCGGCCAAAGTGGTCGCGGTCGGGGAAGACGTCGGCCTGGTGCGGCAGGTTGGCGCCGCCGCTGTCGACGAGGTAGATGCACGGCAGCCTGTTCTCCTGGGCGACGGCCTGGGCGCGCAGGTGCTTCTTGACGGTGATGGGGTAGTAGGTGCCGCCCTTGACGGTGCTGTCGTTGGCGACGATGACGCAGGTGACGCCCTCGACGACGCCGACGCCCGTGATGATGCCGCCCGCCGGCACGTCGGCCTCGGGGTACAGCTCGTGGCCGGCGAGGGGCGAGAGCTCGAGGAAGGTGGTGCCGGGGTCGATGAGGGCCGTGACGCGGTCGCGCGGCAGCATCTTGTTGCGCGCGAGGTGCTTCTCGCGGGCCTTGTCCGAGCCGCCGCGGTGGATGCGCGTCGTCAGGGTCTGCATGCGGGCCATGACCTCGGCCATGCCCTGCTCGTTCTCCCTGAACTCATCCGAGGACGGGTCGACGTTGGTCTGGACGAGAGAGATGGCGCTGGCTTGGTGGGGTGGTGTAAACGTCGCGACGCCGCGGGTCTGCGTCTGCGTCTGTGTCTGCGTCCGCGTCTGTGCAACGCCGCTGCTCGTCGAAGATCGTGAGCAAGGGCGGAGGCGGGGCTGGAGGGTGTGGAGGCGGGCGGCGGCCGTCGTGGAGGTGCTCGACCGGGTCAGTTGGCGAGAGAGCACGAGGAGGTCTCTCGAGGAGCGGGAAGCCGACATGGTGAGTGTGTGGTGTGACAGAGTGACAAAGTGTTGGCAGAAGTGAGCAGCCAGAAGGCGACGTCGCGATACGAAAATCAATTTGGAAGGACGACGTGCTGCTTTCTGAAGCAGAGAGAGAGGGCGGATGCAGTTTGTCTTTGCATTTGATGAATTGGATCAATTGGGATATGCTCAAGGTCCAGCCGAATGCCGCTTGGAGACGGGATAAGGAACGCACCCAGAGCATGACGTCCCGTGGAGTCCGGGAAGGGGGGGGGGGGGTTCACCCAGCCTCGGCCCGTCGATATCCGCGCTGGGCCGCACTTTCCTGCTCGGCCTGGCCACTCAACCGCGCCTTCTTCATAGTGCTGTTGGCTGGTCGGACCTGCCTACAATCGACTGTGACTACGACTGCCTCTGTTGACCTGACGCAACTTCTTTTTCAATTGCATCCTCCATTGCATCTTCCATTGAATCTGATTGCATCAATTTCCTTGCCTCCATCTCCAGAGGAAAGAAGAGTAGTGCCCTGCATCGCAACACAATACCATGTCGTCTGCCAGGTTACTGCGTTCCCTGGCGAAGCCCGCCCGCCAGCTCCGCCCCCGCATCTCTACGCCCACCACCTCCTCCTCCGTCCTCCCCCAGATCCAGACGAGGCATCACTCGCAAAAACACCCCCAGGGCTTCGAGCCCCCGACCGAGGCCGACCTCGCCGAGCTGCGCGAGCGCGTGCAGGACTTCACGCGCCGCGAAATGACCGAGGAGGTCGCCGCCCGCACAGACAAGACCAACGCCTTCCCCAACGACATGTGGCCCAAGCTGGGCGAGGCCGGCTTCCTGGGCATCACGGCCGACGAGGAGGTCGGTGGCCTCGCCATGGGCTACCAGGCCCACTGCGTCGTCATGGAGGAGCTGTCGCGTGCCTCGGGCTCCATCGGCCTCAGCTACGCCGCCCACTCGCAGCTCTGCGTCAACCAGCTGCAGCTCAACGGCAACCCCGAGCAGAAGAAGAAGTACCTGCCCGGCCTCATCGCCGGCACGAGCATCGGCGCCCTCGCCATGTCCGAGTCGGGCGCCGGCAGCGACGTCGTCAGCATGCGCACGACGGCCAAAAAGGTCGACGGCGGCTACCTCATCAACGGCAGCAAGATGTGGATCACAAACGGGCCCGACGCCGACGTCATCGTCGTCTACGCCAAAACCGAGCCCGACGCCGGCTCCAAGGGCATCACCGCCTTCATCGTCGAGACCAAGACGTCTGACGGCTTCAGCTGCCAGCGCAAGCTCGACAAGATGGGCATGCGCGGCAGCAACACGGGCGAGCTCAGCTTTGACGCCGTCTTCGTGCCCGACGACCGCGTCCTCGGCAACCTCAACGGCGGCGTGCGCGTGCTCATGGAGGGCCTCGACCTCGAGCGCCTCGTCCTGTCGGCCGGTCCCCTCGGCATCATGCAGGCCGCCCTCGACGTGACCCTGCCCTTCGCCCACCAGCGCAAGCAGTTTGGACAGCCCATCGCCCACAACCAGCTCGTCCAGGGCAAGCTGGCCGACATGTACACAAAGCTGCAGGCGTCGCGCGCCTACACCTACGCCACGGCCCGCACCGTCGACGAGGCTGGCACCATCCGCACCCAGGACTGCGCCGGCGCCATTCTGTACGCTGCCGAGCGCGCGACCGAGTGCACGCTCGACTGCATCCAGCTGCTCGGTGGCATGGGCTACGTCGAGGAGATGCCGGCGTCGCGGCTGCTGCGAGAGTACGTTTTTTTGTTTTCTTTTTTTCCCTCTCCTTCGTTGGCTTTGCTCAGAACCCTCTCTTCTTGTTCCCCTTCCCAACCGGTGCGTGTGACTTGACTGACTCGAACGCGTAGTGCGAAATTGTACGAGATTGGAGCCGGCACGTCAGAGATCCGCCGCATGGTCATCGGGCGGGCATTCAACAAGGAGTACGCCCACCTTGGGCCGTAACTATCCGGGACGGCGCGGGCATGGCATGTTGGGGATCCACGAATGGTCGATGAAGGGGAACGAAATGGCGCATAAGGCACGTAGTAGCGACGCAAAGTAGCGTCGAAATGGAATTTTCTTTTCTCTCTCTGTCTGTCATGGCGGAGTAGAGCGTCTGCCACTACCATACTACAATAGGGGGGTTCCAAAAAAACAAAACAAAGGGCAGACACGGCACCCGAGAATCTGGTCCTTGGGTCGGGCTGGTTGAGTACGGTTTTCCCCAAGCGCGAGCTTACTCTTCACCGTTGCGCGACATTGACTCGCCATGACCACGTCGTGCGTACATTGCGTGGCCACGGCGACAACAGGAATACGCCACGGAGGGGGGAGGGACGAGAGAGAGCGAGAGAGAAAGGAAGAAAGAAAGAAAGCGCACACGCGTGCATGCTGATGACTCGGGAACAGGGACGTGCGTCTGCGTCTGGGGATTGCATTTCGGTTCCGATTTTCTTTGCTCTCTCTCTCTCTCTCTCCCCCCGGGGAGAGAGGTGCCTGATACGCTCAAGTCCGTCATGAGAGGGATAGAGGGGAAAACGGGGAGCGTTCATCCCAGTGCGGCCATTGTCTAAGATGGATTGCGGTAGGCGTCGAGACGTCCTTTTAGGATAACCAAAACATTGAATCATGACGCGATCCGTGGGCCTGCGCTTTGCAGTCCCCTACCCATGTCCCTCCCTTCTGTCCGCCTTGTCTCCTAGCCTTGCCCGCTCGTTGCTGCCACGTGAGCTCCCATGCCTTCTCTTGCCCACCACCCCCTTTCACCTGCCTGCTATCCCACCGACTCACGAGAGGAGCATGCCCTCGGCCGCGGCGGGCTCCTCAACGACGACGGGCTCAAAGGTGAACAGGGCGCCGGCGCCGTGGGGCACGGCGGCGCCGATAGCGTCGAGACGGCTGCGCTTGCGGCCGATGTAGCCCTCGCGGAACGTGTCCATCCTCTGGTTGAGGAAGCGGGCCGAGTCGCGGACGACGCCCTGCTGGAGCTCGCGCTGCAGGCCGGCCGTGTCGTGGGACATGAGGACGGGGAGCAGGCGGGCGGACGGATAGAAGCGGCCGCGGACGTCGGGCTCGCGGAGGACGACGTCGCGGCGGAGGAGGTGCAGACGCCAGCGGGACGCCGGGGCGGCCTTGGCGCGGAAGAGCATCTCCTCGCGGAGGGCACGCGGCAGCTTCGTCTCCGGCATGTCGGAGGATGGGGTGACAGCGGACGCGGATGGGGGGCCCCGGGGCGTCGGTCGATAGCGGCGCGTAGAGGTCGCCCTTGAAGAAGACGGTGCCCGTGATTGTCGGCTGCGTTGCAGATATCGCGGAGTCCGAGGAGGCGCCGCCTTGCGCGAGGA